AATGGAGACAGTGCAGAAAAAAACCCTTATTTTTGTTACACTGCCAAATTCATATCTCTGTGAAACAAGACTAAAACGAAATGTAATGGGATCAAAGCTCACTGTAACTCTACAGAAAACAGATTCGCTTGGGTTTTCATAGTGCTCCAGTTTAGGACACTACAGCACTATCAGAATAATATGAAAACATATGCACTGTATACATTCACTTTAAAAATGTTGCTATGTCTTTTATATTTGTCTAATACCTGATCTTAAAAGATAAATTATATTAATTTTACAATAGTCACACAATTTGCTGTCCTGAATGAAAAATCACAGCTTTAATGCCAAACACTTAAATTATTTTCAAAGCTTCTCTGCAGATAAATTTTTTTCAAAGCTTCTCTTTGTTGACAGTTTAAAAAAATAAGGAAATAAGAAAAAAAAAAAAGGACAAAAACTGCTAACTATTTAACATATGACCAACCCTGGACACCAAATTAATGTAATCAACTTTCATTAAGTTCAAGTCTGTATCTTTTTGAGAAACAGCTGAACAGAAACATATTATCACAGAGCTCAATATTTTTTAGCCATAGCATCACACCCACACTTGTTTTAAATGGGGTGGTGGGTGAGGAGAAGTTGTTACACTTGCAGAATATTTCCCTCTATTTTCTATAGATATTAGGCAATATTCCCTGAATTTGATTAAGTTTTCCAAATGTTTTTAATAGAATTTTTAGCAAAATTAGACATTCCATGGAGCAAGCTATGGGATATAAAAAGCCACGTATATCAGAAACAGTCAAAAATGCAAACAACCAGTCTAGTAAAGTGGCCACAATTCATTCTGTAATAAAAGAGAGTTTGTAGAATGTACGTAATCATTTAAAAACATGAACTTACAAATTTATGCAGAGAATTGCTTTCACTACAAGGCACTTCCTAAGCAGAATGATGATATCAAGATTAAAGTAAATGAAAGGACAAGATTTAGCAGTCAAATAAACATCAATTCATCTACAAAACCAGATTGTAGATAAACATCACCAGAAAAAAAGTTTAACAAGAAGTTTAACAAAATTTAATCAAACTGATCAATCCCCATTAAGGGTAGATAAATCATTAACGGAAGAAAATCTAAAAGGCCTCCCCAAAACAAATGCATAAATATATTCAGTGTTACTAAAATATAAATTTGACGTCCATCTTTGCTAGGTTTTGTTGGCAATTCTAAAAGGATTAATTTGACCACCATGTTTCACTTTTAAGCTTTTTATCAATTATCTTTCAATACTACCCAAGGCACTGGGAAAGCACCCTGTCTTTGGAGCAGATGAGTATGGTCCATTTTCTAAGATACTTATGTGGGAGTGGAGTGGGGAAGGAGGAAATCAGTGAATTTCAGTCATTCTTACCATCTCTTACTGTATAAATATTTTGACCTGATCAGTAATGTCAAGGGAAGCATGCAAAGCCACAGGAAATAGCTTACATAAATGAACTTTTTAAGCACTGCCCTCCATCCGAGTGATTAGATCCTGAAAGGCTGTGAACACCAGGAAGGCTAAAGTCTATCTATCAATACATCCAGCTTTACATTTCAGTATTTATACTTCAAAATTAATCTTAGCACTCTCTGCAGGATTAATGATCACAGACACTAACGCAAACAATGAATTTCAACATTAAATATATTTTGTTTGATATTCTGTAGGATAGCCATAATTATTTTGTTTAGATGCATAATGCTATCAGAGCAAAATTGATTTTTAAATGAAGACATAAAACTTATAAAAGTTACTATAATATTTGTAGCTTTCTTTTTTAACTTGAGGCTGCTAGACCAAAGTATCCAGGTAGAAGGAAAAGTATAGGAGAACATACACTAACAGAATTTAATTTAATTATGCCCCCAAACTGAACACATATGCTAGAGAAGAGTTAATGATATATATATCGCCTGATGGCTCCCAGAGGAGCCATTTGCCAATACAGCTCCATTACATCAGACATAATAAAAATGTCTATGTTGACCAGTAAAAGCCAGGTCTGGTTCTCTTCAAACTCCATCACTCTGGTGGTATGTGAATCATTCTTCCTTTTCCCTCAGTACTAGCAAAGCTAGTTCTTTAGTAACTATTTACATTTAATGTCAGCAAAGAAACTTTCATGAAAAATCATGACTTCTGAAGATAATAAATTATCATTGCTAGATGTTAAACAGACAAAGGCATTTGGCACTAGCTACTGTACATGTCTTTGTTTCTTTAAGAGTGGAGTAATAAACCAGGTAAAAGAACCCTTAATTTTATGAAAAAAATAAACCTACGTGCATTAAAACTTCAAAGTCCACAAGCCCTTTCAATATTAAATGCTGATTAAAAAATTACTGGGTTTCAGCTAGCAGGAGTTGGAACCATACTTACAGTAAATTATATTACATAACAACTAGCAAGAAAAACAGTAAGGCCTTGGGGATCAGAAACAAAAGCTACATGCTACAAAACATCATACACAACAGCAGAAAAAGAAATCTAGTATTTTTCTTCCTTTTCTGCTGCACCAGTCATTGCCACATTTAAGCATAAATCTGTATTGAGTGCAAAATGCAATTTAAATTGTTGGCCTCACCCACACAAAAGCATATTTATTTCAGTTTACCCCTTGCTGATATAGCTCAGTGATCCCAGTAGTAGGAAAGGAGATGAAAAATGGTTGTGGAAGAAGAGGGCATGGTTTAAAGGTCTGCTTTTTGAGAAGAAAATACTAGTGCCTAGTCTGATTGTTTATGCCAATATATGTTACATAATGTAGTCCAACACAGATGTAACTGTACTAATATAAATTTCTTTATTCAAATATACCTTATTTGGGTTCATCAAGTGAAATATGGTATATGTATATAAACACTCCTACAACAGCGTATTTGTATAGGGAGATGGAAAGGCGACAGTCACAGTAGATTACTGCTTCGATTACATTTGAAGTGGAGTTAAGTGGCATATTAAATGGAGAAATACCTTCCTATCCACCTTGCCCAGAACAAAAGCTTTGGGGCAATCCTAAAAGACCCTCCTAAGGGAAGCAGCAAATACGCGCACTGAGCTGGTAAAGGTAACAACACAGTCTCACCCTCAACGATGAACATGAACCAAACCAGAAGATACCAGGGAGAGGAAAAGATGTCCCCACTGGTCACATAGCCACTTAACAACCATCTGAGCGTCTCATCCTCTGACAGTTGAGGCAAGATTGCACAATCTTTATGACTGTACGCATCAAGACAATTTATCCATTTTCTTCTGCAAGTACCCAATTTTGAACAAAACAAAGGCAGATAAAACTAACAGTAAGATCTATCACAGAATCATGGAATGGTTTGGGTTGGAAGGGACCTTAAAGACCATCTAGTTCCAACCCCCTGCCATGGACAGGGACACTTTCCACTAGACCAGGTTGCTCAAAGCCTCATCCAGCCTGGCCTTGAACACCTCCAGGGATATATCTTCTATCAAAGGAATAATTTCAACAATTAAAAACGTTAAATGATGGAAATTGCAATCTGCTCTCCAGCCTTACACCAAAGAGCCAGGAAGGATTCCTGTTGCCTTCTTAAGCATTTGTTGGACTCAACCCCAGTAATTAATGTGAATTATCAAGAACTAAACCACAACCTCCAGGTGAGGTATTACACTGCGTATTAGAAGAACGAAGACAAGCAGAGGATATAAAAAAATTCTCCTGAAATAAGAACATTATCATAATTATTAGACTCAAGAACTCAAAACAGAATGATAAACTGTCCCATATAGATTCTTAATGTTAGAAAATCAAACATTGATGTAGTTCTTTAAATAGATTATTACTTCCGTAGATGATCCACATGTTTTCATTTTCTTCCAGAAGTTACATTAGCCAATTCTAATAAATCAAAAATCGGAAAATTGATACTTTCCAAAAGAAAATTGCATGCGAGTACTTTTATTTTCCTTCAAGATAATTATAATCAAATTTTACTTATAAAGATTAAGTAGCACTTAATTTTTCATAGCACGTAAGAAGAAAAGGCACAGAAAATAGAAGCAATCCCTACTTCAAATTTAATGCCTAGCTTACACTTACTTCTGTCAGATCACTGAAACCAGAATGAGTACAGAAAGTCAAATATGAAGACAGAGAGCTCTTATCCTTCATGCCTCTTCTCATATAATTTTTAAAGGCTCTTCTTCATGTATATAAAAATACTCAAAGCATATAGTCCAAGTTCATGGTAAGGAGAACAATGCTCTGCTGAAGATGCCTGAAAACACCACTGCAAATGCTGTTTTCCAAATCTGAGCAAAACAGCAACAAACACAACAAGAGGTAGAGAATGGGACAATAAAAGTCCCAAACCAGAAAGGTTTGATGCAATGTGAATCTGAACAAAAAGTTTCAGAACCACAGGAAATCCACAGAGACAATCAGGTCAATCTGTGCTTTGGGCTAACTTAATATACCAATGAACGCAGATGAAATTGCATTAAATTAATTCTAATTGGAGACCAAGTTGGAAAAAAACCTTAGGTCAATAACAACAAAAAAAGAGAAACAAAGGTATCCCTTTAGGAGCCTTTCAGTTAAGAAGTAATAGAGACGCTCAGATGAGAGGATTAAAGTATGTCTTTAGCTTGAAAAGCTGTGCCCTGTCTAGCCATCAGAAGTAGAAGCATGAATGTTCTCTTAGCTCCTCTTTTACTACTGCTTAACCCGTATCATTTGTAAGGCCTGACAATCGCATTTTGTGATCTCCTTATGAGGTTTTGCTTGTGAACATAGTTAGAAGTGCACCTAAGCAGATCAAGAAGGCAATACCTTAGCCAGCTGCACCCAGCAGAAAGGTGCTGGAAGTCATGACTAGTTTTTGCTAATAAAAATACCTGCCTGTACATATATATCTTCAGGAATATTTACTGTGTTATCAATAAATTTGTACAATTCCACATCTGCTATTTCTCAGAGTTGTCACTTACCCCAGTTTTATCGCATAGACGCAAAGTATGAAAAGACCCCACAGCAAATAATTCTCCATCCACAGCCCAGGCAACAGATGTTATAGGATATTCATGGGGCTGTGAGCTGTACAGTAGATGTCCATAACTGTCCCAAACCTTTAAAAAAATAATTAAATATATATCTATATGAACATAGTTTGGGCGTACCTTTACTTATTCTGGAGCTAGAATTTTCCTTCATGATCACAGAAGTTGCAGAAATGTACTAAGTTATTTCACTGCCTTTTTGTGTAACTAGAAGTATCATGTACATTATAGTTCACTTTTCATTAAAGGTTGTTCCTAATCAATATTGTTTTGTTTAATGCAATAGACTCTGCTTTGCTGCTATGGGAAACGTTACATTATTCTGTATAAAATATTTTGAACTAATGAGTTTTGTTTCCTGCAAATTTCTGTAAGACTGTAAAATAACCACAACATTTATTCCATTTGCACTTGTTTCCCAATAATGTAAGGCACTTCTACAAATTTCCAGACCAAAGAGATTTTCTCACTGATTGAAATCAACAGAGTACCAGGAAGCCAATTCAGAGACTGAAGTAATTAGATTTTAACACTTTGATAATTTCTTAATTGTGTATGTTTTTATCACAGCCATTATACACTTAGAGAATGACAGAACCAACATATGATACAATTAGAAATAAGTTCCTGCTTAAAGGAAGAAACACAATGTGTGCTTGCTATTTTGGATAAAGAATATCCTAATCAAAAAATTTCCTAAGAGATTCATTAATGCTCTTGCAATAGAAAACAGCAGCTTTATCTCCTCTAATTTTATATATCATTACCTTTTTCAGTATATGTCCTAGCTTATACTGTTTCAAGTAGTCGTTTCTATATTTATATATATTTTCCTTCTGGAGTTCATTTCACTTGCATTTTACCTATTTTTATTCTGCCATGTTTAAAAAAAAATTCTAATTTTATGCTACTAGACAGAGCAAAATGTATTTACAAATAATACAACTTAGGGTAACAAGTTTTTTCTTGAAAGCTGAAAGACTTCGCATTTCATTGCAAGCTTCCAAGTATTACTAAAAATAGAAAACATCAGAATGCCTAATATCTTTTTCAGCCATCTAGTTTCCCCTGAAAACTCAGGGGGGTACCAGTACTCACCTTATATTTACAATCTTCACCTGCAGAAAGAATAAGATCATTAACTGAGTTCCAGTCAGTTTTTAAAATGAGTCCATCATGGGCTTTCCACTGAAACAGAAAAAAATAGATTAAACATAGATGCAACAAGTCTGACAACTTTTATTTCTAATATTTATCCTTCATCTTTTACTAGCATTCATACACTCCAAAGTAGATCAGGGTTTCCAACAGTACAAATGCACAGATTTCATCTCTTCTGCAGAAGAATAAATTAAATACAGCCTGAAGAAGGCAAGATGAAAGCATAACAATCTGCACTAAAAGAATGTTCTAAACAATTGCTTCTGTATCTTGCTGCCTTTTTGTAACAAATAAAAAGGGAAAGACTCCTGTATCTTTTAGCTTTTTCCTTATTTATGAAAAGGGAAATGTCTCACATGCCTGAAGAATATCCACAACAGAAATTGTAATTTTTTTTAAATTTTCGATAATTGAACAATCTCCTTATTCTCAAAAAAACTGAAAGGGGTGGGGTGGGGGGGGGCGGGCAAGAAATGAGTGGCACGCATGTTGCATGGAAAATTTTAGCAATAACACTTTATATTTGGCAAAACTCTAAATAAGTGAAAAAAGTTTTCTCACGCAAGTGTGAGACAATCTTAATGTGTTAATGATACCTGCAAAACTTTAGCATTTGGCTGAAGAGGTTTAATAATCAGCTGCTTCCCTGAAGTATAGAGAACTTTTTCAGAATCAGGTCCCCAAGCTACTGAGTACACTGGTGTTCCTGCAGACAGACAGAAAGAAAACATTTCTTATGACTTTTCTGGTCAAATCATGCAGAAACTGCTACAGCCACTTCAAACTGATTACTTAAAATCATGCATCAAAAATTCAGGAGAAAGCCAAACTAGGGACAAGCGTTTGTTCTCCACACTTGTCTGACTGCACTTGTGGCCATGTTTACTGATTCACTTTGTGTTTTAGACAGCCATAGGAACAACAGTGAGAGAGACACAACACAGAAAGACAACTCTGAAGACTTTAGCTCCTGTGGCATAGCCTTCCAACACTCCTCAAGGAAATAAAAATACATTGGGTGAAGTTCTGGCAAGCTCACTTGAGTAAACTGTCGAACACCTACCACTTTCCATGGGGCCACTCTAATGAACAAATCAACTTTATGCAAAAGAAATAATGAATTGATGGCTTGTCCAATACTACATCTGGGTTACTGAAAATATGTATGACTTTACTACTGCTATAGGTATCTCCTTTTCTCATATTGTACCTATCAATTTTTTCAATGCATCACTTGACTTTTAAGACCTACCAATTTTATGGCAAGGTCTGTCCCAGCAGACTCTGACTACATTTACCACTTGCTTCTTCATTTAATGCTCTCCTTAAAACCACCTCTGGAAGAATTACAATCACCAAATTTCTTCCTGTATAAGATTTCTTCTTCAGTCAAATAATCTTCCTAACTAGACAATGTTGTTTCTTCAGCTTCACTGAACCTCATGTTTACACTCCCAATTGTTTTTGTTTACCCACTCGTAAAAGAAAAATCTGACCAATTCATTCCAAGATATACTTGAGCAAAAAAATATGACATTGTCCTTCTCACCTTTGGGTCACCTTTCATCTTTAAGGTGCTTCTCTCACACCTTGATGCACTGATCCCCTGGATCACAGCTAACAAGGACACTGTGAAGATTTGTGTTGCCCCTTCCATTTGTACAATTTTTGCTATTATATCAAACAAAGCCCTTTATGGTCAATTTACTTCTGCGGTCTATCTGCATCATGGCATCTTTCATTCAGTATTCAAATGTGAACTCTTCCCATCAGTCCACAAAGTCAGCCTTCAATGCCCAGCTGTCAAATCTTCAGAACCTCTCTCTTGCTATCTATTCGGCTTGTAGACATTTCCTACAAATACCTACAAAATCATTTCAAGTTTATCTTGAGATCCTCGCAAACTTGTTTGCCAGAATATCTAAAATACGAGTCAATCCAATGCTGAGACCACTGACCAATACCTAATTTAAAACCAACAAATATTTGTATAAAAAGTAAGCCCAGCAAGTCAAGTAGACGGTACACCACCACCTATCATTTTAATACTGTGTTTTCAATATTGTATCTTTCTCAAGCCTCATTATCTACTGCCATTTACCGTGCTATTAATTCGCAAAACTTTTTATAAGTCAACAGTTTTACACAACTCCAGAAAACAAAGAATAATAGCTGCATTTTACATTTGCTTTATCTTTTATCCTCTGATGCAATTTTATTGACAATTATGACTTAAGAGACACAGAAAATCACCATGACAATGCAGTCATCCTAATACTTATCAACAGACACCGGAAAACAGCTCTTTTCACCTGCAGTGGTGAGACTGAACACAAACGTGGGCAGAAAAAACTTTGTATTGCACCTAAACTAATCTTTGTAAAATGTTTGGGCTCTGTAATTAAGCCCCTAAGAAAGCGCCTTTTTTTTTTTTTTTTTGCTGCACATATAAAAACTCATATATCCCATACCCAAGCAACTTACAACACAAATAACCACAAATAAAACTAGAAACAGTGGCCCACAGACTCCACTGATTTTTCCCAATTAATTAAAAATTTCTTTTTACAGATTGAAAATTCTAGAATTATGTATCTCAAATAAAGCTGCCTATTCTGTTTTAAAAAGATGTTATGCTGCAGTTTTCAACTGACCTTTTTTGAAAATAGAAGAAAGTAAAAAATTACATGGAAAAAGCATCCAGAAAAAAAAAAAAATCAGACTTGCCAACCATGCAAATATTTTCCATAGTACTTGACAGGATTAATCTCCTCTGAAGTATCAAAGTATTATTCTACTTGATTCCTTGCAAAAAACCCTAAGAAAACTGAGTAAACCGCATATGCAAGCATTTTATGGAACGCGATGATCTCTAAGGTCCTTTCCAACCCAAACCATTCTGTGATTCTATGATTTATGCTATCACAGCAAAAGCCCTGGAGCAATGGACAGCAAGTTTCAACACAGTCTCAACATCACAAGACATAGAAACAGTGCACATAAAGCTGTGAGGAGGAAGACGGTACAGCAAGCCCCTGTCAGACCATTCTTACTTTTTGTAAAACTTTTTTCTGTATCTTCTGAAATGGGAAAGATAAGGCTTCGTTCAGGCCTCTGTTTTTTCTCTAACAGACTTAACATTCTCACTGGCAGAAATGAGTCCTCTGAAGACATGATTCAATTGTCTAAACACAAGCATCTAACCAAAGGAATGCACCTGGGGTGCTCTAAGATACCCACGTGGAGCTTACAGATGCGACGCAGGAGCTAAGGGAGATCCAGCTCCTTCTGCGTTTGGAGGTCAGGCAGAATAGCCCAACGAACCTCAAATGGTAATAATGGCACCCCTACATGAACACAACTGAATTGTACCCCAAAAGCTGTGTCTGAGAAATGAGGAACCTCAGAAAGAGTAACTGTTACATTCTACAAGTTTGCATATGACAATTTTATTATTTTAGAAGAGGAAAATGGAAGGAAATTCTCTGAGACGTACTTCTTAGAGAGTCATGAATATTTCAGCTGATAACTAAATACCAAGTTGATCAAATTAATTAAAATTGAGCAAATAAACCATTTTGTACATAATTTATGGTAACAAAAAAAAAAAACCACAAACGGCTTAACAAGTGCTCTTACAGAGTAAAATTTTCAAAGACACTTTTGGCATATTAAGTTCCATTCAAAAAATGACTTAGGAATATCTTTTTATGGGAATATTTTGATGAGTTTTAAATACTTAAGTGACTGAACTGCTATATCAGCTGTCCTAACATCATCTAATATCTTACCACTTAAGCCTCTGAATTTTCTCTCTGAACTGATTTTAATATGGCCACATCAATTCAGCACACTAAGCTTGATTTGAGCTTCTAAGTATTCAAACTCTAAACCAAGACCTGCTGTCATTGCTCCTGAATATTTTTGTACTTCATGTATTTTCTTTTAGGAAGTTATTTATGTTACTTAGAAATACAGAATGATGTAATTTTTTTTTTTTAACTCATCAACCATTACAGGAAACAACTCATAGAAACATACAACATATATTAAGTAAATCTGGCACTAGCTATTTTCCTACTGGCAGCAATTTATGTTGAAAATTACATAAATTCTGTCACCAGCTGTACAGAAATTCTAAATAAACTAATTTTTGTCCTGTTCTAATGCTGATTTAACAATCAGAAGACTTTTATATTTAAACCAAATGTTTAACTTTTTTATGATGGCTGACTACTTAACCACAATTTCCAGAGCTTAACAGCAGGAGCTGAGTTAACTCATTTCCTTCTGCACTTAACAAGAACTTGGTTGGGAAAAGGCTGCCAACACAATGCGTTGCTGTGGAAAGAAAAATTCAGCAGAACAGACAAACTGCAGTGAATTGCATTGGTGATAAACAATTTCAGGAAAAAATACTCTCTGAGAAAAGAAGTGAGAAAAGCAGTAAAGGTGGACTGAGAGAAGATCTGAAGAAGGAACATCAGCATTAAGCACACAGGGTGGGCTTTTCACATCTCAGCGCTCTACTAGCAGATGTTAATCCCCAGTGAATCATTCCTGTGGACAATGCATATAGCAGAGAAAGAGCTAGGGTTGAGTGCAGGAGTGACAGAGCAGTCCCTCTGATCCTTTCAGCCACAGCAGATACTTAAATAATTACAACAGTAAGACTGCGTGAGACTTTTTACTTTCACAGGAGTAGAAACATTAATTCTGACAATTTTATGTCTCTCTGTGGCAGCACAAAAAATAGGAGCTGCATTTAGAATACAATTGTTTCTTAAAAAGTTAAGTTCTACTTCACAATAAACATGTTGTAATTAAACTGTTTATATTGCAACCGTTGTAACTTTGCTACCATTAACCAAGAAGGCAGCCTGTACACCAATTACTCATACTATTCCTTGGTGTTTATTAGCATACTAGTCACTGGAAGCCCATCAGAAAAGTCAGTAGGTCCAAAAAATAGGTACTCAACAAAGATATAGTCTTAAGAGTACCAGACGACAAATTCAATTTGAAAGAAAGGTGACAGAAATCACCTGAAGAATTAGAAATCCATCTGAGGATCCATCTTTTCTTTCACATGTGGACCTTCAGTACTTTGTACATCCTACACTTCATAATTCTGTGGCTCTCTCCAAAGGAACACAGACACTTGAGCACAGCATCATGCTGCAATGTATACATCACAGAATACACAGAGAAACCCTGCTTTAACCATAATCCTGCGGGTTACCAGCATACACCAAAGAGATGCAGGAAAAAAAGATCAAAACCTACCAGTGCACCGTGTCAGCTGGAAGGGCAAAGGATTGCAAATACAGCATTTTTTAAAAAAAGCTTTAATGAACAAAAGCATATTAAGATAATCTAAGGATGAAGAATTGAGATCAGTCTTGAAGAACAACGCAGCCATAACAGCAATGGTACAGCTAGAGGCTGAAGGCAGCAGAGGCTACCAGGTCACACTATCTTTATTCCACCCATCAGCATGATGGAAGGACACATGGCCAGAGCACTCCATGTAACTACTGAAAAAGCTAAAAAAGGGAAAAACGTATGTTCATGGTTTTGTAGAGAATGAATATCTAAAGATAGAATAGGCATGTGGACCATCATCCAAAGACAAGAGCCTGAAAATTTATTTCTAATACAAAGAGTGGAATGAGCAGAAAGAATGTTAGCAATGGGAATCCTTTCATTTCTCAAGGAGATGATAAAGGAAGTGAAGAATTAGCGCAAACATGATATGCCTCTCTTAAACAGCATAACACTTTCTGCAGAATCCTATCCTGATACCAGGTATGTCTGTAGCCTAGAGGGGTCTGTGGGAATCTGATCGTATAAAAGTAAAGTTTATAGGGTTTCTGAGACTTAAAGGATCTTATCTTAAAACACAAACACAAGGAGACAATTATTCCATAGGGACTCAACTGTACTTTTATACTGTACCAGAAACCCTAAGAAATAAATGAAAATTCAGCTTGCATACTTCAAACTGGAACGTCTCTTACTTCATATGCTTCATCAAACCTCAGATAAGCAGTTAAATATAGAAAGCCTAAAACATATCAACTGAGAAATAGTGAAGAGTGTGTGCTTCAACTTTTTTTTTCAAAAATTGTAGTTCAGATGGTTTATCTTTTTACATTGTAAGCATAAAAAACCACTACATCTAAATATGAACTTCCTTAACAGAATTGAAATACATTTTACATTCACTCCTGTGGTTAAAATGCCTTCAACAGGTTGAAAGAATTTAGATAATTTGTTTTAGAAAGAGATAAGGGTCTGACATTTAACCCAACCCCAGGTGCATGTGGTTTCTTAAAAAATGTCAAAAGGTCACATGATCTCAACGTATGAAGTCTGAAAAACAAAATCTAGCTCAGTATCTTCCCTGAAATAGTACAAAAATATTAGAAATTATGATTATAAAAAAAAATAAAAATACCAAGCATAATTTGTATAAATACGTATTTGCAGCTTACACTGTTACACATTACAATAATGTGATTTTAAATCAACTTAAATAAAGATAACTAGAATACTCTAGTATGCATAAAACTGTAGTTACAAAGCCAAGACCAAGGTTAGGTCTCCACGGCCTCAGTTCAACAAAGAACTTAAGCACAGGGATCGTTTCACTTCAGTAGGACAGTTTGCATATACTAAATTAGTTACTGGGTTAAACAGATGAACCAAGGGCTGTTAAGAGCTTTGAAGTTCAGAGGAACTAACCTACACGCACTTTGCATCTTTCAAAAAAAATGCTTTTAGAGATTTTTTTTTCAGTTTCACCATAAGAGTCTGTGGCTTGATATGAAAAACTATATTTTTAAATTTTTAATTCTTTAGCCTCCCTAGAATCCTTAGGGTGGAACTGAAACTATTGTCTAAAAATTTTGCAATAATACTTTTAATTTGAATAAATTTTTTTTACTATAGTCTTATTAAAACTCCTCTTTTAAAAACTCCAGTTCCTCTGTATTCAACTATGATTTGTGTTCAATTTTACTTAAGTTAATCTTAGTTAAGTTAGTCAAGTTAATTTTATTTAAGCTAATTCTAGTTTAGTTAAGTTAATTATTTAATTTTAAGTTAAGTTAAGTAGTTAAGATCCTTAAACAAATCATTACTGCCAGATTTAGGGCCTGTTATTTAACTGTATTTCATAATATCCCAAATCAAAAAAGTTCTAATGGAACTTTAAGAAAATTAACTTACCTTGCTGAGCTAAAGTAGATCTCAGCATTCCACTTTTAGACCAGATTTTCACTTGGCCATCTTCACCAACTGTAAAGTTATCACAGAAATAGTCAACTTCAATGCAATAAGTCGTCTAACAAACATGGCACTTGTATTTATCTAGGAAACAACAGAGTTAAAATACGTCCAGGTCTTCTTAGAGGTAAATATTGTTTATGTAGTCTTCCTAACATGCAAAAAGATAGTATATTATGGAAAAAGTATTTAAGACTGCTCTTCTGATATTATCAATAAGTCTCTTCCTCTCCTGAAAATCCCCACAGTCATCTGATCTGAAGCTGCTCCTGGGAAGAGAAAGTCCATCACTATTTAAGTATCCCACGTTCTGTATCTTCTATTCAGCATTGCTAGTACTTTTCATCTATTTACAGTTCAATGGCCCAGAGACTGATTAAAAGAGCCTCTGAGGAGTCCAAGGACAGTAGGAACAGATTATATGTATTAAACTGGAGGCTTCACAGTTGATAAATGGTGAAACTGAAGATAAACTGAAGGTGCCGTTTGAAAGGCTTAAATTTTACAACATAACTGCATGTTACCAAGAAATTTAGTTTACTTATTAAAGAAGAAGTTCTTATATACTATGCAGTATAATTATGCATTCATTAAGAGCACAGATTTCCTAGTGTGCTATCGTATTTAAAACATGCAGCTCTGGGCCTTCATTTAGACCTGCCAGATTCTGGGAGGAAAAAGGTGTACCCGGACACTTAATGCCATTCTTCCATTTGAAAGTAATTTACTTACCAGATTTCAGGTTTTTATATCTGGCTGATGTAGCTTTTATGTGTTTAAAAAGTGTAACAAAATTTTATTTTTAAAAAAATCTTATTTGTGCACACTTGACACTGTCAAAATAGATCCATAAAGAATATTTAAACTGATACAGTATCATCAATGATTCACTCTTCCCCAAAGTATAGTTGCGGTACAAGAGCAGTTGATTTTCTCAGAGCACACTCTTTGGATATGGTGATGAATTCCCATACTCCCCATAAGTGTCATGCAGTCCTTCCAAAAAAAAGACCGAAAAGGCAATTTTGACTTTTTATTTGGAGACGTTCCTGAGGCAAATCTGTCTTTAAAAAGAACAATATTTCTATCCCTCTGGGACTTCAGAGGAACATGCCAGACAGAGTTCCTTGAAGCAGCATTTTAAAGTCAGACTGAGTCTGGAAACACGCAGATCCAAAATTATCTTCAGTACTTCTGGACTGAGTTGGAATTTGTCCAAAGAAATCAGCTGTGCTAGATCAACAGGAGGCTGCAGAAAATTCTGACCAACGGAAATCCCATAAAGGAGAAGTCTACCACAGGAAAGTTAACTAGCTTCCCCTTAACTTCAAGATAGTTTTTGACAAAAATGCCACAAGCAATTAATGGCCAAGAGATTTAGGACAAAAAGACATGTAGAGAAGCAGTCACTGGGAGATCACTCTCCCAGCCTCAACAGAGAAGAGAAAGTGCAGCTGGATCTGCACCACTCCTAATAACTGAAAAAAAGAAGCACAGGAACATTCAAGATGCTGGCTAAAAGAACCCAAACGTCATGTCCAGGGAGAGAAATGTACCAACTTAGCAACCCCTTTTGTAACAGATTAAAAAAAATCAAATATTTTCCTTTATGAAGTACAGAACATCTGCAAAAACATCTAAGCACTCTGATATTAAAAACATTTACTTTTTAGTAAATAGGATAACATCTAATGGATAGGATCACTAAAAAAGATAAGTGTTTTTACTAGATCTTCTATTAATTAAAATAGACATCATTATTTTAAAGCAGCATTAATCAAATAGTGCAAAATTAACGTCTATTAAACAGTGTGATAATAACCCCAGTGATAATGAAGGCATAAAAAAAGCAACTTATTATAGCTAACTTCATTTATATTGTTGATTTTGTGTTTCCATTCCCCCTTCTCATGAGAATTTCAAGCTAGTCCAGTGTGTGAACACCTAATAGTGTCAGCTTTATTCATTCAAATTCAATGTAACTACAATATAAACGATGAAATTTAGGATGACATCTTCTAAACATATATTAAGGATTAAATTATTTTGACAAAATATTATTTTGTATTTATCCCACAGAATAAAGTACCTACATTCTACACATTTTATTGAATGCACTTACTTTTAATAAATTTTGTTTAATACTGTATTTGTGTACCCTTACATTTCTTCATGGCATGTCAACTTTGTATATTAAAAAAACAGGAGGCTTTATTTTGAAAGAGCTCTTCAGTTATTTTAGTTTTCAAAACACTTCACTATTTTAAGAATGCTCACCTGTAACCAGCGCTGTTCCTTCGTAATTCCACCTTCCTGCGAGTACAGCTCCCCAGTGTGCTTCTACGCTTTTCTCTACTCTTCCTAGCTTGGAAATCAAGTGGAACTTCCCTAAACAAAAGTTCAAGATACAAATAATACATCTAACTTTGTGAATTGGTATTTACGACTGTAATGGTGTTATCTTCTGTTAAAAACACATACAAAACAAGACAAGAAAACAACAACAAAAAAAGAATAAAACATGCAATTATGATGTTCGCAGCTATGATCAGCCCAAACAAATGAACTCTGGCAGAAGAACTACTTGTAAGCTAGCTCCAGTGTTGTATTTTTTCTGTTTTCGGTATGTATAACCTTTGTTTTGCCTACTAATTTTTCTTATGTCCCTCTAAAGTTTACATGTTTCTCTGGGGACACAACTGCCTGATGTTATGTCATTGTCTGAAAGCTAACAAAGAGGTATATACGCTGCAGCCCAGGAGAGCCCTTGTGGTTTTGGTTTTTTTTTTTTAAGATCTGAAAAAACACTCAGCACCAAAAGGATAATGGAAAAGCTAGAACAATTCAACCATCGGTGAGTGTGTCGCTCTGAGGAAGTATTACCGCTTGCATTATGGAGCTGTTATGGAAATTCACAGAAGCCAAAAACAAAGCTATTAATGATTTCAACAGAAGCATGAGGAAGTCTTTCTTTCCAAATGAGGGATGTTGCTTAAATCCAGGAAGATCGAATTTAAACTGGACCAAAGAGCAGACAAAGGAGGACTTGGAAGCATGTGGCAGAACAAAACACGACTTAGAATAGATGAGTGATTCAAATTAACTACTTTAAAACCAAGACTCTTTTAAAATTATTGTATCTAACCTACCAGACAGTGAGACACTATAAGCAATTTCCAGAGTGACCAGAATTCTTTGAGATAACTGTACACACAGATATCTCACACTAAGTGTGGGCAAATGCTCCATCACTTAAGGTGTGATAATTTTTCTAATATTAACACCCTGCTTGGGAATATGAATTATAAAACAGGCCATAACTGATAAGCCAGAACTGGAAACTAAATACCTGACTATTTCAGTAAAGGACCCCATTATCAAGACCAATATGTGTATGCAGATGATAAATGAGTTAACTATGAACTCTGGAGAAGGTAAAAACATCACTGCACTAAATGCACATTCAAATCACAGTAGCCAAGATGGTAAAATTTAAGTGGCCTGCACTGCCAGAAGCTTGCAAAAACTTTTATTGTGTTCTGGTTTCCCATGTTTTATTTTATACTTCAATTAAAAAAAAAAACCCACCACCACAAAAAAACCCCAACAACAAAAATCTTGAAAACAAAGCCGGACTAAAAACAAAGAAAAAGCATTCTGGCAGATCTGTCAGTAACTATGAAATGTACATCAGGGCTCTCCATAGCATTAGTCAAATGAATACAATTACACTTTGTCTTAATTTTACTATTAAGTATATAAACAAAAAGGCACAATCATCCAGACAAATCTCTGCCAGTGCAAGATTTCTAAGCCAAATATGTTTAATGCTGAAAAAAAAAGAATGGTTTGTACCAATCAGTTTATTTAAACAGACCATTTAATATATCACAGACAAGTATACATTTTTGCTTTTCTGTATCATTTATATTCACATCTACCAGAGTACTCTGAACAGCCAGTTAATCTCATTTTTTCCTGAATTCACAAAACAAATATTGTTACTAAGACCACTTCTTCCTCATTCAGTTAATTTCTAATTTCCTAAAATTTTCAGGACTGGTATCCTACATTTAATGCATTACGTTATTTTATGTTTATTTTATAATTAT